TGAATGAGACCAAAGGAAACTTTAGGAAAGAAGGAAAGAAAGCACACTGCACAAGAATTGCTGCTCATGTAGTGTTTTGAAAAGGGACAAGAGTGCATGGGTCTGGTGTACTTGTAAAAACTGATTCAAGAAGACAGATAACTTCAAATTTGGCATGTGTTCCTTCCTTCAGATTTGGCACATGTTAAGAAAACTGAAATGGAGCAGATTGTCACTGCATCCAGTATGTGGTCATTTCCTGACATGATTTTTTCCCACCCCAGTGCCTTTACTTAGCTGTGGCTGAGTTGTGACATGATCTGCTTCCATCTCAATCAGATGCAGCAGCCTCCTAAGGGGCCACCAGAGAGACTAAATGGTCCTCCAGGCAAGAGCAAGCCATTAGGAGAAAAAAGGGAAACAAAACAGGAAGGATTAAAACGCAGAGAAGAATAGAAATTGGAAAAAAGAATGAATGAGAAGAAAAAGTAAAAAATGGCATGGGGGGAGCAGGATTTTTTTTCTTGCTTTAAGACCATACTACTGGTAAACCTGGAATGTCATTTTAAAAAGACCTCTTTTCTCCACTTCCTGCTATATCCAGTTACTTTAGCTGTGTCCTGCAAGGCACAGGCTAATTTATAAACCCCTCATTAAATCATTGTTCCAGCAAGCTCTTAAAAACCCCTGACCTACCAGGGTGATTCTGCACATAAAATTCACCTTATAGTCTGGCTGAATTTTTTAGGTCCTTGATAGAAGGCACTGCAGACCATGCTGTTTCCCCATTTTGGCTGCCGCTGTCATGTATTGCTTCAGTAGATCCTGGGTGTGTTCTATTCCTAGACTGTGGATTTTAGTTCATCTTTAAAAGGTTGCAAGTTAGTTGCCTGTGATGGTTAATTTTTATTGTCAACTTGATTGGATAAGAAACCAAAGTTAAGCCAAAAGTTAGAGATAAGGGCAAAATAGTTTCTGCCTGGTAGTGAGGGGGTAGAGGGGGAGAGGGAGGGGACGGGGGAATGGGGGAGAAATGACCCAAACATTGTATGCACATATGAATAAAAGAAAGAAAAAAATAAAATAAACCAGTTAAGCACACCTCTGGGCATGTCTGTGAGGGTGTTTCCAGACAGGATAACTAAGGGAGGGAGACTCACCCTGAATGTAGCTGATACCATCCCCTAGGCTGGGGCCCCAGTTGGAAAAAAGAGGAAAAAGAAGAAAGCTCAGAGTGCAAGTTCTCTCGCTCTGCTTCCTTGCCACCATGATGTGCTCTGCCACACTATTCTTGCCATGATGGCCTGAGACTTCTTTTTTTTTTGAATTTTTTTTCTTTTATTTGTATGTGCATACAATGTTTGGATCATTTCTCCCCCCTTCACCCCTCCCCCTCCCTGCCCACTCCCTCTCCCTCCACCCCCTCGCTTCCAGGCAGAAACTATTTTGCCTTTATCTCTAATTTTGATGAAGAGAGAGTATAAGCAATAATAGGAAGGAACAAGGGTTTTTGCTAGTTGAGATAAGGATAGCTATATACAGGGCATTGACTCACATTGATTTCCTGTGCATGTGTGTTACCTTCTAGGTTAATTCTTCTTGAACTAACCTTTTCTCTAGTTCCTGGTTCCCTTCTCCTATTGGCCTCTGTCGCTTTAAAGTATCTGCTTTAGTTTCTCTGCATTGAGGGAAACAAATGCTATCTAATATTTTGGGTGTCTTACCTATCCTCATATCTCCCAAGTGTGCTCTCGCTTTATCATGTGATCAAAGTCCAATCCCCTTGTTGTCTTTGCCCTTAATCTAATGTCTGCATATGAGGGAGAACATACAATTTTTGGTCTTTTGGGCCAGGCTAACCTCACTCAGAATAATGTTCTCCAGTTCCATCCATTTACCTGTGAATGATAACATTTCATTCTTCTTCATGCATAAAATTCCATTGTGTATAGATACCACATTTTCTTGAGAGCTTGTTTGGAGGTTCTAGCAGGGGAGCGCAGCTACTCGTATACCCTTGACCGAAGAACGGTCCTCCTCTATCGGGGATGGTCGTTCTCTTCCACCGAGCGCGCAGCTTCGGGAGGGACGCACATGGAGCAGTGAGGGAGGAAGTGGACACCCGCCTAGCCAGCCAGATCAGCCGAATCAACCCTGGCGATCAATGGGGTGACAGATGTCGCAGCCAGATCGCCCTCACATCCGATACCACATTTTCTTAATCCATTCGTCAGTGGTGGGGCATCTTCGTTGTTTCCATAACTTGGCTATTGTGAATAGTGCTGCAATAAACATGGATGTGCAGGTGCCTCTGGAGTAACCTGTGTCATAGTCTTTTGGGTATATCCCCAAGAGTGGTATTGCTGGATCAAATGGCAGATCGATGTCTAGCTTTTTAAGTAGCCTCCAAATTTTTTTCCAGGGTGGTTGTACTATTTTACATTCCCACCAGCAGTGGAAGAGGGTTCCTTTTTCCCCGCATCCTCACCAACACCTGTTGTTAGTGGTGTTGCTAATGATGGCTATTCTAACAGGGGTGAGGTGGAATCTTAGTGTGGTTTTAATTTGCATTTCCTTTATGGCTAGAGATAGTGAGCATTTTTTCATGTGCTTTTGGCCATTTGAATTTCTTCTTTTGAGAAAGTTCTGTTTAGTTCACTTGCCCATTTCTTTATTGGTTCATTAATTTTGGGAGAATTTAGTTTTTTAAGTTCCCTATATATTCTGGTTATCAGTCCTTTGTCTGATGTGTAGCTGGCAACTATTTTCTCACACTCTGTGGGTGTTCTCTTCAGTTTAGAGACCATTTCTTTTGTTGAGCTGAAGCTTTTTAGTTTTATGAAGTCCCATTTATCTATGCTATCTCTTAGTTGCTGAGCTGCTGAGGTTCCATTGAGAAAGTCTTTGCCTATACCTATTATGGCCTAAGACTTCTGAAACTATAAGCCAAAACAAATCTTTAACCCCTTAAGATGTTTTACTCAGGTATTTGTCACAGCAATGTGAAAGTGACCAGCACATTGTCTATAAGTAAAAAAAAAAAAAATAATGGATATTCTATAACTGCTTTTGAAACTTTTTACCCCTCTTCCTATCCAATCTGATTTCATTTTCAGGTCTTCTGTGACTCCCAAGATGGGGTTCAGTAGCCTCCTGTCTGCTCTCACATCATGCTCTACTTTCCCCGTGCCCACAGCAGCCCATACCCTACAGCTACCATGGCCTTTGTAGGCAGGCACCCCACTAGAAGGGAAAGTCCTCGGGGGCTAGGAGTGCCATAGTAGCCACATTCAGTGCCTGTATTGTGCCTAGCACAAAGTTGGTGCTCAACAGGTATTACAAAACAAACAAATGAATTAGGAATTGTCAGAGTTCTATTAAAAGAACTAGGTAGCAAATAAGACCATAGCAAGATTCTGTGTCAGTGGAACATTCTCTGGTTGCTACTCACCAAAATTAATTTGTCCTTACAGCAATTAGGATATGCAATACAGAAGTGATATTTTGCACCAGTCTACCTCACATTCACTGACAATTTTTAAATAATAAGTGTATTTTGACCAATGATTGAGTCCCATAATTATAGCTCAGGTGTTCAAATTTTCAATTTCTTCTTTACACCATCTGCTATTCCTTCTCTCCTTCTGGCCTGTTGCAACCATCAAGAAACAAGGCAAGTGCCTTAAATTATGGCTTCTTGTGCGTTCCTAAGCTACGAATTTTCTCCTCTCTCTTTCTCACAAGTGGACAACCTGGTTTAGACAGCTCACCCACATAAGTTTCCATGAGGACAAGTGCCCAGGCCACTGCTAATCCTTCTTCACTATGGAAAGAAAAAATGTCCAGATGTTCCTCTAGGTCAAACAGTTGTTTTATTCAGTACGTGATGTATTTTTCTCATGATATAAAAATAACATAAACTTTTCTTTTCTTTTGAGTGAAGAATCCTGTTTTCTCGCTGTCTACATTCTTGCATACAAATCCCTTGCAAATTATTTTTCAAATTCTAAGTCTCATTAATTTAATTGAATCTGTTCCTAGTTTTTAATTAAATCTGCATTTCTTCCAGTAACCTTTGGACAAAGATAGAAGCCACACCATGTTGGCAAGAACAAGACCACAAAGCAAGACAAACACAAAATAGAAATACAAAATCACATGGCAGGTTTCATATAAATTTATTTTTGTACCAAAAAATTAACATTCAAAAGCAATGTTTTTTTGTACAGTATAAAATAACTTCTACTAAATTAAAAATTGGATTTTTTGCTGATAAACCAATAGTAACTTAAAAAAATTTACAATTTGCAGAACTTGTAGAAAAAAGACACCTGTTCAATAATTATATAAATACTCTTGACAGATTTCAGTAGCGTATTATGAATCCTTTTTTGGCAATGTCAGCTTTCTAAAGTCAATTAGCTTCTAAATTTGAAAGGCACCTGGTGGCTACCATCCTGTTTATTATTCAAGGCATCCATTTTAGGCTTTTTTCTTCTTCTTCTTCTTCTTCTTCTTTTTGCAGAGGCTTGACAAGTCTGAAAAAAATCTATTAAGTTAGAAGGAATGAAGAAATACACTACATTTAATATTAGAAAACATTTCTTTCCCCTTAGCTACAAGTTTTCCCCAGGGGATTTACAAAGTGCACCAGTTAAATATGTCTGTACATTTAAAACATTAAATATGTCAACAGTGAGACATTTTTAAATATTTTGAATCAAATACTATAGCACAAATATAATTTACAATACTTTGCATAGAAAACATTACATCTGAAATATAACTTTAGATATTATATAAAAATACATATATTTTTCTCTCCTCATTAGAAAAAGTATTTTTTCGCAGGTTCCAGCATGATGTAACAATTCAAAAGAACTTAACCCTTCAGATGATCATTCATTTGCAATGAGATGATACCCTCTCTATCCTGAGGTGCACAGAGGCACCTAATCATGGGGAAATTAACTCTTCCCATAGCCCAAATACAGTTTTTTCATAAGGGCAACCATACTTGTTCCAGTCTGGTTTAATTCTACGAATTCATTACAAAATTATAAAACCATTGTGCAGTCACCATGAGTCCAACATCTCCCATTGGCTGCAAATATGCATGCTCTCTACAGAGCCCAGAGCACAGATCATGAGCTTTGTACTGTGGGGCCATGCCCCTTAGTAGTCTTACACACCTATATACATCTCGGCTTGTTTTTGAAGAGTTTCCAAACATCTAGGAATCATGTGCTAATGTTTCACAAAATGGGTTTCAATCTATATCTCCAACTTTAAAAGCCCCAAAGTATGTTGCATCTTGATCTGGATCCAACAGGGAAGGGTTGGATACCTCAATGCTTATTTCCTCACCAGATCGTAGCTTAAAAAATCCTCCAACATTTATGGAATAAAAATGGAATTCAGAAGTCCCTGACCAGTATTTGGTACTTCCTCCTTTCATCAGCGTATGAGAACTTGGGATTTTAATGCTGGTTTTAGTGACATATACCATCAGCTGAAGATATTCTGTTGCTAGGTCTCCCGAAGTTTCATGATGCCGAAAGCAAATGTTGGCATACAGGTAATAAAAGCCATCTTGATTAACCATTAGTTTTCCATTCCTCAAAGTCATGTTGGAGATCTTGGCCCAGCCCCGGTCATGGTACCAAGAGGAAAGACTCACTTTATGGGAACCTGTGGAAAGGAGAGCATGGGATTTAAGACACACTCTTGAAAGAAAAGGGACACCCTCACCAGTCCAAGAGGCTAGAGGGGAAAAGCCAGCATAACAGTCCTTCCAGTGGGATTTATTTTCTTTATGGGAAGAGGTACATTCAGATGTATTTAGTGCTCTGGGTAAGGCACATTATAGAGCACAAAGGCAAAAGCCCACTTTTCCTGCCCTCAAGGAAGCTACAGGACATTAGAAGTGAGTATGATACAGTTCAGATAAGAAGCAAGGCACAGTGCTGAAAGAAAAGGAACATATCATTGCAATGGGAATTCCAGGAAAAGAGAGATTATTTCCATCCAGGGGATCAAAAAAATGACTTTGTAGAGTTGCTATTAAGCCTAGGAACTTAAAAATAGCAATAGGCTTCAGTCACACAGACAGGAGCGGGAAGGTCCTTCCAGATTGAAGGAGGAGAATTAGCCAGAGGCAAGTAAGATGGGAAAACAAGAAACTAGTATAAGAAGAGAATTTTCATACTCTACATGTCTCAACCTTCTCTTTCATTTCATGGACAGGGATATGGAGAAGGAGAGAAAAATGCGGATCACAGTAACTTTGGGAAAATGGCCAAACTCTTAGACTCTATTCTTAACACCATCTGTTTTCCCTACCTCAACAGTCCATATGTCTCCCAAGTCTCACTCAACTGAGTGGCTGTCCACAGAATATTACACTTCACAACGTAACAACTTTCACATAAACCAAAGTATTATAAAATCTCTTTTGAGTAACCAAAGTCTCCTTTAGTCACTTCTCACTCAGAAATGAGGTGACAATTGGTCCTTAGCTACTGTTTCCTGAGCAGTGAGGAAAAAGAATCTTCTAAATCAGCAGCATGGTCAGTGTTTTTCATATTTCAGGTTGTTAGTGCATTTTGCTAAGTCTTTAAAAATTAGCCATCCAGTGATCAAAGATTTGTATTAATGTGGACACCTATTATTTTATTGGAAAAGGTAATACCTCATGGGAGAAGGCTGTAATAGTATGGAAAGTCAAAAAAACACACCTTTTCCTAAAGAGGATTTTATAAACACGTATGCTGAACTAAGATTGTCAACTTCTTGGAGCCAGCAAGACAGCAGAGCTGAGTCTCACACTAGGGGTGGGATTTGTTTCTGCAACATGAAAAGTTCTTTGCTGCCCATCATGCCTGCCCATATTGAGATGGTGATGAACAGAAATCAGCCTCACGTTGACTTATACTTGAAGCTGCTAAGCTCAGGGAGTTAGTGGATTCCAAGGATCTGTCAAAGCTGACAACTCTGGTTTGGAGGACCCAAGAAAATCCTTGTAAAATAAGAAACCTATGCTAGCTACCTTCCCAGACTAGCCTGAGTCCTTGGAGCCTGGAACACCTGCTTCTTTTCCGAGAGAGCCACAAGGTGGAGAATGTTCTATTGTCTCTGGGATATGGTATGGAGACCTCCAAACCAGGCTCTTCAAGTGCTAGTTGTCCCAAACTAGCAAATGGAAGGAAAAATTCAGTAGTAGCCAAGCTAGAGTGGGGCAATCCATTCGGAGAAGACTAAGAAGCCAATGTTTCTGATTCCCCTGTGCAGGACCAGGATTGTTTCTAAACTCTTTGGCCTAACCACCACAAAGTCATCAGAGTCACTGTTGCTTCCAGGGCCCTCCACAGCAAGCTTCCTTCTTTTCCACTGGAGGTCTTACTTCAGTAAGTACCAGCCTATGATCCTACATAAGTTGAAAGCAAACTATAAGATTCTATCCATCACTTCATCATGAATACTAGTAAAATAATTCCTTCAGGCTGATAAACAGCCACCTGATCCTCAGGGACAAACTAATGAAGTTCACGGTGTTTCCCATCTCAAGTTATGCCATGTTGCCTTCCCTTTTACCCCATTCCTGTACTACAGTCAATCCTTCTTCAATTCAATCAATTGCCTTCTAGTATCTCTTAACAGACATATGCAGAATGACTGAAGTGAAGGCTACCCTTTCAATGGGATGGGTCAGCTCATGTTAGAGCAAGATATGGCCAGGGAAGGCAAAGGAGGAACATGAAATAGAAAAGTAAGAAGACAGGAACCTTGACTGAATACCACTCCCATGGTCATGAAGAAGCTTGTCTTTATTTCCTCTGAAACATTGCTCTCTTTTTACCCATCCCTGTATTCATGCAGACATTGATTCATTCTGTCGATCTGCCCTGAAATACCAGTATGCTGCTTTCTATGGACATTCTTTCTGCCCATGATTAAGAATTATAACAAGAAGTGTACTCTCGTGATGTTTACCACTAATAATGTAGAAAATAAGAAAAGGACACATAAAATACAGCATTGTCATTTCTACGTGTTGCATAGCACAGGGTTAACATTTGGTGACAAGAATTTGCCAAGCAAAAAGCTACAGAGGAGTAGCTAGTCAGAAGAGTGAGCTTGGTGAGGGGACAGAAGAGCCAGAGACTAAGGAGGACTTGGGTCAGATTTGGAGAAACTGTTGGAGCAGAGTGGAGTGTGCATGGCACCCACAGGAGAAAGGTAGGAACACTAGGCAGTGTGAATAAAGGCCTCCTAAGTGGACAACAGTGGGAGAAAAGATGGGAAACTATTCTGTGATAGGGGTGGAGGGGCTCACCTGACATCCCGGGTTTCCATCACTTATGAGGCATGCTCATATCTTCTCACCCCAACCTCCCAGCCTCTCCAGTCCTATGCTGTGGTCCCTAATGTTAGACACCGGAGAAGAAGCCTCTGCATACATTTAGCCTAATCATCTCTCTAAGGAAAGCCATGTATCCTAACCCCACAAAATACTTCCCAATGCATTTTATTCAAGAAACCTCGAAAATGCACAAGGTAACATGGTCCATAAGGCAGATTCTGATTTCTTACGTGCAAATAAACATACAAAAGAGCCTTGAAATGAAAATGCAAAATGAAAGCCAATGTCCCCCGAAGCATCTGATACTGGCCAGCACTGGGAGATCAATGGCCCAAGGGGTTATTGGTCCAAACAGAACCGCAAATTCTATTTTCTTAAACAAAAGCATATACTAACTCATTTCCCTCAGTCACAAACCCAATAACTGTCGGAAAATAACCAGGAGTTTTGCCTTGTTTTTTTGGCAATGATTTGATTCTACATGCCTGCAGAGAGAGCTTTTTAACTAAAACATGCTTGCTATTGCCAATCAAACTTTGGCACACAGTCTAATGCAATATTTATCATATGCCATTTAAAGTGAACTGAAAAGATGAATGTAGGGTACATTCACAGCACGCACAGCTGACGCATCAGTATTAATTTGATTGCCTTTGCGAACATGCAAAATAGTTTTCTACTCAGAGAAAATTAGTGCCGCTCCATCAAAAAGCACACATAGACAAAAGAGAGAAAATTTGTTTATGAAGCAAGTATGTGGGTCAGAATAGGTAGTTTAGAAAATCCTCTAACAGAACAGCTCAAGGGTCGGTTTCACACTTTCATGTCTCAGTTTGGAAAATCTCCCTCCATGGTTCACGCTATAATAATGGCTTCAAAATCATCTATTAAAAGTTGAAGTTTTTTTAACCTCAAAAAAAAAAAGAACTTGCCTTAAGTTATTTGTAGAATAAAGTGGAGTATGCATAATTATTTAATTAGACTTAAGTAACAATCACAAATCCCAGCCACATGCTCTGTTCTATGTAAGAATGTTAGGAAGTTACCTCGCTCAATCTTCACAGCCACCCTACAAGGTAGATATGATCACTGTGACCATGTTAGACATAATGAAGCTGAGACACAGAGTCCAGTAATTTGGACAAGGTCATCAAGTCAGTAAGTAGTACAGTGGCAGTCAGCTGTCAGAGCCCTACACTAATCCACTTCGTACAAGAAAAGAGGACATAAGAGCATTGAATTATTTACCTCTGACAAAGACAACTCACCACAAGTACCTAGAAGCCTGGTTTTAGGATAAGGTATAACATAAAAAAGCATAGACTTGGGAATCACCTAGAGTGAAATTCAACCTCTAATCCTGTCACTGCTGTGACCTTGAGCAAATGACAAACTATATGAACCCCTGTTCCCTCATCTGCAAAATCTGAATGATAACACCACTAGTAGTGATGTACTAAGGATAAGAGGTAATAATAACACAGAGCCAAACGCTGTTACTTATCTCTAGTAAGTGCTCAGTAAGTATGGTGCTAACAATAGCATTCCATTATCCTTCTATAACAATGTTCATCGCGACCTTTTTGATCCTTCCCTAGCCCAAGGTGAGTGACCAGTGGGACTACATGATGGGACACCTGGAGCATTCAGGTAACTGCAGGCACAGAACATTGTCTCATTTTCAAAAGCTAACCGGATTTCCATGTTAAAATCAACCCTTACCCAGAAGAAATGAAAAGCCCCTGGAGAAGGGGCAGGGTGTCTCATTTTCCAGAGGACTACTGTTTCTTAAAGATCATTGTGTTAACTCCTACCTGGATCTCAGCAGGAGATGGCTAAGTTTCTGACTACCTGGATGACTTCATCCACCTCAGAAGTCAGCAATGGGAATGTGTCAGCTTTGGTGTGGGTAAAAATAGAGGAGCAGAACAAGAAATTGGCCTTGTCTTTCCCAGGTATGTGTTTCTGTCCGTCATTTAAAATAAATACCGATCCTAGATCTGAAAATGAGTATCGTGACGATTTCCACTCTGACGTGGCTGAGAGTCACTGTTTCCAGGATGTGAGATCAGCTGAAGACTAATGATCCTTCTTTCGTTTAGAAGTAAAGGTCCTCAAAACTTTTAGTAATGGGCTGATAATGGGTTTGAATATTTCAGTGGTTTGACAAATGACTCTTGAATTGTTTTTTTTTTAATTTTAGGCTATATGCAACTAGAACTTACCTGATGGGATGTTGGTGGCATTAATAGTGAGATGAGCAAAAGGCTGAGTTTCTGTCTTGCCCCTCTGATTGAGCCATGAAGCTTCCATCATAACTAGATACGGGAGAAAGAATATTAGTCCGAAGACTAGTGACCCTGTGAGATCTAAAACGTTCACACAAGTTCATGATTACCTTTCTCTGCTCTGATATGTTGTGACCCAACCATATGTTGTAATTCCTGAAACAAAGAGAAAGAGTTTTATTTACTTCTTTCTGTAAAGCAGGACTGTTAGATATATGAGAAATAACTCTCTTTTCCTTCAAATGATGCCAGAAGTGCAGAGACAGCAAAATTCTTTTTTTTTGTTCTTGTTAGCTATCAAAGAATCAGATGGTGATGTGTTTAAAAAGTCAGTCACATATACCATCAAACAAAACCCTTTGGACAGTAAGAGGAGGCAAAAGACAAAGTAAATTATAAAACATGAAATAATTGAACATAATTAAAAATTTGCAGTAGGTACCCAAATGGAGATGAAGTTAACTATGGAAGTAACAATTACACAAGAATATATGACCCTCTTAAATCTTTAGGGAGGCTCTCTTTATGTCTGTCTCATTAGTGAATTCCTGTTATAATACTTTAGCTCAGCCCCACGAATGACGCCTGGCTCCTAGTGGTTAATTTTTTATTTTAAAGTCACGGTGTATTTAAAGTACTATATAGAAGTCTAAGAGCTTTTAGAGTACCAATAATTAACTTAAAATATTCCTGCAAATAGAGGTTTAGAAGCACAAGCCAGGAAAAAAAGAACACAGGTCCATAAAGAGTATAGGTGATTGCACATCTCAATTTGAGCATCCAGAGTGAAGGCCCCAATAGGGAAGCACGTGCCTGCCTGAATCCATACATCTGCTAACGTGAAATGCCCTATCACAGGACATAGTAAGGTAGAGTAGATGAAAGCTCAGGCTTTTGCCTTGGTTCAAATCTATGCATAAACTGAGGGCATTACAGCACTTCTGTCTCAGGGTGGTTAAAAAGACTAAATGAGGTAATGCAGCTGGGCACTTAGCTCAGTGCTAGTAAATTCAGATGTCTAGATACTAGAAACACTGGAGAGATTCCTCATTTCTTTCCTACTGGGATAACCACTTATGCGCCCCTACCCCATGATGTCTGAAAGCTAGATCATACAGCTTAAGTTCTGTAAGTGTCTGGATAGAAGGATTTTGAGATAGACAGATGATAGATAGATGATAGACAGAAGACAACAAATGTAATATCACAAGTTCAACTATTATCAGCTAGAAGGGTTCTAGAGATAAAATTTGTTCTTCTCTCTTCCATCAGGACCCTCAAGAATGATGAGAGCCTATTCTATTTTAAATACCCATGGAGAATACCACACAGCTGCCTTCAGTTACCTATTCCAAAATTCTAAAGCTACATGTGGCTGACTTTTAGAAAGCAATCTACGGGCTCATGCAAGTCAGTTTCTGACCTTGCACCTGGGGCACAGCCCTGAAGAGTATTGTGGGCTATTCCAGGGAAACAGTGGCCCTTTCTGAGTTAAACAATTCAGCAGCCATTGCTAGGCTGCATTCGCCTCCCCACTTCTTCTCATCTCTGGCCTCCCAAGTCTCTTCTCCAGACTGCTGGATTCTCAGTGGTGCCCCAGTTTCTGAATTTCCTGGTTTTGGGCTCCTCCACATTCACAATGGAAATCACTTACATACAGTGTATCTTGGTAATTGTGTATATTTTTACACATTTATATGCACACAGTAAATCTTTGAACTGGAAATGTGTAAAAATATCTTTATACTGTGAGTAACTTTATACATTTACACCTATACATTGTATATCATTACATGTGTATCTATACTAGGTATATTTATTCCACCATATATATTTTTACACATTGTAGATACACCATGTATCTTTACTTTGGAGACAGAGAAATTTAATTCAGAGATTTAAGCCACTGCCTCATTTTCCCACTAATTCTGATCTGCCTTACCATCAAAGGAGATGGGGAGGGGTGCAGAGGAAGCAGAGCTAAGTATGGTGCATACCTGCAAATGCCTGTTTCATGATTTTCTACACAAACTCCCTGATTATCTAGAAAAACAAGGAACACACTTTGCCCTAGCTCCATGATTCCCAAACTTCAGCATGCCTGCCACCCTCCAGGAGGGTGTGGTAAAACACACTGCAGGGTCAGTCCTAGCAGGAGGAGAAATTGCATTTCTGACAGGTGAGGTGAGTTGGGACTGCTGGCCTGGGACCTCCTTTGAGGAGATTCTGCAGATTCACAGATGGGCAGTTGAGGGGAGATGATCTTAGAGTTTGAGACCCAGGCTAAAGAGGCAGCAGCTCAAGCCACTGATTAAATGGGCAGAAGTGTTATTCTCTGTCCTTTCCTTGCCTGTGTAATCACTGACTTCTAGAACAGAGCTGCCACAGACCCACTTAGTGACAAGAAAATTCAGTAAGTAGCACCTCTCAGAAGCACTTTCAATGCCTTCTGCCAGGGAAAAAATAGAAAGGCTTCATGCCCCAGGATGAATTAAATATCTAGTTAAGAGACCCTCTAGGTAATGCCACTCCTGTCTCTAGGGTACCCAAGAATTGCAGTTCCTCTCAGAAATTCCATATGAAACTTTCAATATGGAAAGGGGAGCTTATGATGAGTCTACAATCTCAGGTTACTTCAAAAAATGTATTCCCAATATGAGTACCCCCATTCCAACTTTTTGAGCTCTAAGATCATTGTCATTTATGTGAACTCATAGGCATACCATTCTTATAAAACTACACTATTAGAGTGTCTTTGGGATTTGAAACCATTAAAAAAAAAAAAAACAGAACTTGATGCATCCCAGTGGGGAATCTGGCTGAACTTTAGGGAAAGCTTTGGGGGTGCTTGCCCCCATCCATAGCCAACCTAACTCAATTAATCTGATATTGACACGATATGTTTAAAAAGATGTTCCCAGGTGATTCTAATATGCAGCAGGTGTTGGGGAAATTATTGCTAATTGAGCATTCCCAGGAAGAGTTTTTGGTGACACCTCTATTTAGTTCAAGGTTTTATTATATGCTTACAAGTTCTATTTCTAGCCCACATATTGAAAATTAAATAACGTCTTGCATTTGTGGCCAACCAGGTGTTTCCTGTACTATCATATTTGACCCTTAGAAGAATCAGAGCCTGGGTAACTATTACTAACCTTAGTTTTTCAGACCAAGAAATAGAGGCAGAGAGAGGATAAGGACTCACCTAACAAAGCAGAGACTTGAACCTCTGCCTCCAGAGCTATGACCACACCCCTTTCTAAGGCATCATCATCAACCACACTGTTGAAGCCTATGAAGAAAGTTCCCATGGTCTGTCCAGTAGGATGGTGCCATCCACTCCAAAGGAGGCATGCCTTGCCTGGGCATCTGGCTGCTATGTACCTGAAGATCTGACTTAAAAGCTACAAAATACATTCTTGAATTCACAGGGGCTTCAGAAAACAACTGGCTCAGAACTGGGCATATGCCATGTTCTGGGCTTGACTGGCAAATCCTCTAAACTCAGGCCTGCAGCTCCCATGGATAAGGGGACCATCTCCAAACGTGACACTGTCAAGTTCACGCCACAGAGCAGAACCGTGTGGCTTTGTCATTTGTCACTCCTCAAGGAGTAGATGCTTCCCTAGACTTTTCTTGAATGTCCCCTAATACTTTTCATTTTCAAGATTATAGAAAGCCTTCTGTAGGGGCACCCAAACTTCACTCTATAACAGACAGTTCCAATTCTTTTCCAAGCTATTCACTTACATTATTTTTTATCCATGTTAATTTTCTACGTCTCAAGTTAATTAGAGTGTTTTAAAATTTGCTGAGTTCTTGCTTCCCGAGTCTTATCATTCAGACATTGCTTCTGGTTTCCTTGAATTTGGAAAGTTCTGATAATCTAATTTGTGGAAAACACTACAAAGAACAGCCTAACTCCTTTCTTCTGAACAAATCATTTAGATGAAAGAGATCTTTAAAAACTTTTATATGTGTTTTATCTTATTTTAAGCCAGCTATAAGTTAATAAAAGCCAGTTAGTTAGTTCTCTGGATAATCATCCAATGCAATCACACATTACCACACTATCGGAATGCCCACCTATCTGCATGAATAGTGCAGGTAGCTTAGATACCATTCAAGGAGATGGCCTGGGGGAGAAAGAAGCCAGAAGCGGTTTGCAGTGTGACAAAGCTGTGCAGAGGGTCCTGCTGCCTTCTCTTAGCTAGAAGCCTCTGTCAAATTATCTTCAAGAGAGTCTAATGTGCTGCCCACACTCACTGGAAAATCAGCGATCTGCCTTCTCAGAATTCAATGTATTTCTCATGTGCTACTTGCAAAGGACAAAAAGAATTGCCCCTTGATTTCCATAAACTAGCTAGGATCATTACTGTAAGTTACTAAAAAAATTCACATTAGTAAATGAACTTATTTATGGTGAACCAAAACAAGTAGACTTTTCAGCAAATTTATTCATTCCTAGATAAGCAGAATTTAGTCCTAAATTATAATAGCTTCCATTAACCCTTCAAAACAGAACAAAAAAAGAAAAGCAGTAAAAGAACACACTGCCAATTCAAGGGTAAAAGAAACAAACCCTCGGACACACTGCCACCTAGTGGGCAATGCTCAAAATTAACAAGCCAAGGAAGACAACAACAGCCTGCAGATTTGAAACTGACTGGAAACAACAAAAATGAGGAAGTGTCACATTTTAAAAAATCTTTTCGTTGTGATATCTTTCTATTTGGCCTGAATTAATTTTTCCATCTTTGTTATCAGAGTATATTTGAACCAACAGGAAAACAACCAACATGATTTTTTTTCATCTCAATTTTCATTTAACTCATAGAAAAACTGTTGGGATTGCACAATTTTTCCTCCAGGAAATAAAGTACACAAAAGACCAATGGGATTGTGTAACTGTGGTCTGAAGTGCTGTCTCTCTCCATCTTCTCCTAACATCCAACAAGCACAATTCCCAGGAGCATGACAGGGAAGTCTCTCTCTATTCTTTTAGGATCGAGCGCTCTTCTGATCCTTGGACAGCTTTAAAAATGTTTCAGGTTCTTTTGCCAGACAAAGGGAGGAGGGAGGCACCCTAAAGCTAGCTGTCTCTTGATAAGCTAGACCCACTTAGGGAATGCTATACTGCAAAGAATAAATATAAC